GAGGCTGTGCATGTGTGGGGCCAGACATGGGAACTCTCTACTTTATGCTCAATTTCACAGACATCAAAACTAAAATTACTCTGAAAAATAAGGTCTATCTTTTAAAAATTAAAAGAATCAATCTCCGAAGAAGGCTTCTGCATGAGGGAACACAGATGACAGTGGAGGAGACTGAGCACAGAGAGACTCCTGAGCGGATTCTAAGCACTTCTGGGTACTTTCAGCGATTTGAGGCTGATATACCTGGCAAATTGTCAAATGAACAACACATACGAGTGAATAAAAGTAGGTAGGAATAATTGACCTTCGTAGACAAAAAAAGTAAGACCCAGAGAGGCAACAAAACCTTTCCGTGGTCAGACCCAGCAAGCAGCAGAGCAGAAATTCAAAGCCCACCTGCTTCACTCCACATCCCGCACTCACCTCGGAACCTGACTGTCTTCCCAGAGGAAAAGCCCGGGAAAGTGGGAAACATTCACTAGACCAAACCTCGTCGCACTGTTTCTGGAACACTGACATAATTGATGAACTGTTGGCGAATGTCAGTCAAGTGGGATTTAGGAAATTGAAATAACAAATTACCTTTTAAAATCATGAAAGTTGGTCATATTTTGGGTCCATAATAATTTAAAAATTAAGAATGTAGGGGCACCTGGGTGGCTCAGTTGGTTAAGGTCCGACTTCAGCTCAGGTCACGATCTCATGGTTCATGGGTTCTAGCTCCACATCGGGCTCTGTGCTGACAGCTTAGAGCCTGGAGCCCGCTTGGGATTCTCTCTACTTTCTCTTTGACCCTCTCCTGCTCCTGCTATGTCTCTCTGTCTCTCTCTGTCTCAAAAATAAATAAAGGGGCACCTGGGTGGCTCAGTCAGTTGAGAGTCCGACTTTGGCTCAGGTCATGATCTTATGGCTTATGAGTTCAAGCCTCGTGTCAGGCTCTGTGCTGACAGCTCAGAGCCTGGATCCTGCTTAGGATTCTGTGTCTCCCTCTCTCTCTGTCTTCCCTTATCTACTTGTGCTCTGTCTCTGTCTCTCTGTCTCAAAAATAAATATTTTTTAAAAATTTAATAAAGAAAAACACTAAAAATTGTGAAAAAATAAAATAAATTAAGAATATAAAAAAGAACATAACCTATAAAAAATAACCATATAATAGTAAAAACATGCTAGGCATCTTAATAAATATGCAGCTAATATTCTCTCCTATTGATACAGCGCATTTTTGGTTGTTTTTAGTTTTTCATCATTGAGAATTTACTTCCAATGAAGAACTTTACAAGTATTTGATAACAATTCAGTTTTCCTAGGATAGTCTTGATAGTAGATGGAGTCTTAGTACCAGAATTATAGGGTCAAAAAGGTATGAATATGTTTGAGACTCCCCATGCCAAAGTACTTCTAGAATGTTCCTACCAACTTACACACCCTCTCACAGTAGGTTTGAGTATACTGATCTTTCCAAACCATTGCTAGAACTAAAAATTACCATAAATATTGTTTTCATTTGCTTTCTTTTACTCAAAAAGCAACATCAAACCAAACAAAACCAAAAACACTTATGTTTGTTATCCCTTTCAATATTCTCTTTTGTGGAATATCTCTGTTTCTTCTTTGTCTCTTTTGTTTCTGGACATTGATATGTTCTTATTGACATACACAAAATCTTTGTATTTTTAGAATAAGCCCCCATGGCTTTTACCCTCCTCTGTCTATAAATTTTAATTGTTCCTTTTTTTATGTACAATGTCTTAATGTTACTTGGTTGAACCCATCCTTATCCCTTGCCATTCCTTTCATATTATTTTAATGTTTATTTATTTATTTTGAGAGGGAGAAAGAGCATGAGCAAGGGAAGGACACACAGAGAGAGAGAGAGAGAGAGAGAGAGAGAGAGAGAGCGAGAATCCCAAGCAGGTTTTGCGCTGTCAGCACAGAGCCCGACATAGGGCTTAAACTCACGAACCCTGAGACCATGACCTGAGCCGAAATCAAGAGTCAGGCGCTTAACCGACTGAGCCACCCAGGCATCCCTCTTTTTTTTTTTTTAAGATAGCCATTCAAACAGGTGTAAGGTGATATCTCATTGTGGTTGTGATGTGCATTTCCACAATAATTAATGACGTTGAGCTCCATTTCGTGTACCTGTAGGCTGTATGTACTTCGTCTTTCGGAAAAATATCTATTCAGGGTCTCCATTTGTTTTCTTGTTGTTAGGATGCATGGATTCCCTATATATTTTAGGTATTAATCCTTTAGACATGGCTTGCAAACATTTTTTCCCCGTTCTGTAGATTGCCTTTTTATTTAGATGATCGTTTCTTTTGCCGTGCAGAAGCTTTCTAATTCGAGGCAATCCCATTTCCTTTCTGGTTTGGTTGCCTTGGCTTTTGCCATCAAATCCAAAATGGTCATAGCCAGGGAATTTTTTCCCTATGTTTTCTTTTAGAGGTTTTATGCTTTCAGGTCCTAGGTTTAAGTCCTTAATCAATGTCAAGTTGATTTTGGGGAGTGATGTAAGATAGGTCTCCACTTTCATTCTTCTGCAGGTGGATACCCAATTTTCCCAGTAGCATGTACTGAAAAGACTATCCTTTCCCACTGAATCTTCTTAGCTTCCTTGTCAAGTATTATTTAACCATATATTCATGGGTTTATTTCTGGGCCCTCAATTCCGTTCCATTGGTCTACGTGTCTTTTTTACGTCAGTATCATATTCTTTTGATCACCAAAGCTTTGCAATATAGTTTGAAATCAGGAAATATGATGCCTCCAGTTTTGTTTTTCTTCCTCAAGATTGTTTTGGCTATTTAGGGTCTTTACAATTTTTTTAAAGAGAGGGAGGGGCAGAGAGAGAGAAAGTGAGAGAGAGAGAGAGAGAGAGAGAGAGAGAGAGAGAGAGAGAATCCTAAGCAGGATGCATGTTTGGCACAGAGATCAATGTGGGACTAGATCCTCCAACCCTTGGAGATAAACCCAGGATTTGACCTGAGCCAAAGTCAAGAGTCAGATGCTTCATCAAATGCTTCATCACCTATGCAGCCCTAGGGGGGTTACAAATTTTAAGGCTGATTATCTGTGACAGATGTTACTGAAATTTTGTTAGGAATTCCGTTGCGTCTATGGACGGCTTTGGGTGTTATGGATATTTTAACAATATTAACTTGTCCAATCCACTAACACAGGATATCTTTCCATTTATTTGTGACTTCCATCATTTCTTTGATCAAGGCCTGGTAGGTTTTAGTGTGTAAATCTTTCACTTCATTGGTTCAATTTATTTCTAAGTGTTATGTTTTCGATGTTACTGTGAATGAGATTATCTTTATTTCTTCGACAATGGATAAAAATGCAACTGATTTTTATATATTGATTGTTTATCCTGAAACTTGACCAAATTCATGATGTTCAACAGGGTTTTGTTGTGTGTGTGTGTGTGTGTGCGCGCGCGCGCGCGCGCGTGCGCACGTTTGCTGGATTCTTTAGAATTTTCTGTGTATGAGGTCATGTTATGTGCAGAGACAATTTTCCTTCTCCCTTTCTGGTTTGCGTACCTTTTATTTCTTTTTCTTACCTAAATACTCTGTGTAGGACTCCTACTACTGTGCTGAATAAGAGTGGTTGAGAGCGGGCACTCTTGTTTTGTTCCTGATCTGAGAGGAAAATCTCTCAACTTTTAACAGTTGAAGAAGATGTTAGCTATGGGTTCATCATATATGGTCTTAGTCATGTTGAGGTGTTTTCTCTTACACCCAATTTTCGAGAGTATTTCAGGATGAAGGATGTTGAATTTTGTCAGATGCTTTTCCTACTGGACCTGTTGAGATGCTTTTTGTCTTCCATGCTAGTAACATGGTGTGTCACATCTTTTGACTTACGTACGGTGAACCATCCTTGCGTCTTGGAGATAAGCCAAATGTAATCATGATGTATGATACTTTCACTGTATGCGGAATTCGGTTTCTTAATATTTTGTTGAGAATTTTCACACCTAGATTTATCAAGGATATTGGCCTAATTTTATTTTACTGGAGTACTCTCATCTCGCTTTGGCATCCGGGTAACACTAAACTTGTAAAGTGAGTTTGGAAGTGTCCCCTCTTCATCAGTGTTTTGGAAGAGTTTGAGAATAATTGGCTTACGTTCCTTAAGTGCTTGGCAGAACTCATTCGTGAAACCATATGGTGCCGGGCTTTTCTCTGGAGGTTTTTTTGATTACTGAGTCGATGTTCTTACTTATCACTGGTCTGCTCAGATTTTCTATTTCTTCCTGACTCAGACTTTGTAGAATGCATGTTTGTAGGGATGTATCCATTTCTTCCATTTTGTCCTATTTATTGGCGTATAATTTTTCGTAGTGGCTCTAATGAACCTTTGTATTCTGTGGTAGCCGTTGTAATATCTCCTCCTTCATTTAAAATTCCATTTGTTTAGCCCTCTCCCTTTGTTCCATGGTAAGTACAGCTAAAGATTCGTCGGTTTTGTCTATTGTTAAAAAATAAAAATAAAAAACCAGCTCTTGGTTTTGTTCATCTTGTCTCTAGCTTTCCTGGGCTCTGTTCTGTTTATTTCTGCCCTGATCTGTGTCACTTCCTTCTTCCTATTAATTTTGGGCTTGGTTTGCTCTGGTTTCCCTAGCTCCTTGGGTGTAAAGTCAGGTTTCCTGGAGATCTTTATTTTTTTCTTCCTGTAGTAATTTATCACCGTAAGTTTCCCTCAGCCTTTCTTCTTTCACAGGGTCTTATCAGTGTTGGCATGTTTTGTTTTCATTTTCATTTGCTTTAAGATATTTTTTCAATTTCTTTTTATTTCATCTCTAGAACTAATTGGTTGTTCAAAACTGTGTTATCTAATCTCCACCTATTTGTGAATTTTCCGTTTTCTAGAGTATTGATTTCTAGTCGCACATCATTGTGGGAAATCATGCCTGGAATGCTTTCAGTCTTCTAAAATTCGCTGAGACTTGTTGTGTGAGAATGTTTTGCATGCATTCGAGAAGACTATGTACCCCTGCTGCTGTTGGATGGCATGTCTGGACGCGGTTATGCAGTCCTGCGTAGGTGCCTGCGTATTCAAAGACGCGGTCAGCTCTTCCAGACGGACTTTGGTGAGAGAACACCTTCACCTGTGGGTGGGGGCATGCCGGAACACCCTGAAACCCCAGGCCTGCAGGCGCATGGGGGCCTTTGGTGGCTCCTGGTTCACGGAAATGTGATATCTGTTTGGATCCGGCTGCTGGCGTCCACAGCTTTGGCAACCAGTCAGTGCTGCGGGTGCAAAGGTTCTTGGGGCTCTGCAGCAGTACCCCCAGATCCAGCAGCTAGGGGTGAGGGCTGTTAGCAGTATCGGACACAGCTGGTGGTGTGCACACAATCAACTACGGGGGCTAGCTGCGGGTGTCTGTGCAAGTGGCAGGGGCCAGTTGTAAGCAGACAAATAGCAGTGGAGGCCACAGCAAGCAGAAAGAGGCCAGCCAACTGTGGGTGTGCGGGTAGCTCCCGGGACCCTGTTAGTCGCTTTACTGTGACATCTGAGTCTCATCATAGGTGCATGGCAGTAGAGGCCAGTGTGCAGGGACACAGCTGGAAGGGCTAGCTATGGGGAGGCCCGGTGATGCAGGCCAGTAACAGGAGACAAGGCTGGCATTGGGTCCATTAGCATTTGTGGTGGGGGAGGGGGGGTCTTAGCTGTTGACGTGCGTCTTTGTGGTTGCAAGATGTTTCCATGAAGGTACACACGGCAATGGAGGCCAGTGATGATGGCCGGTGGGGCTGGAGGGGCCGACCCGGAGAGCGCACATGGGGTAGGGGTCAGCCGTAGCCACAAAGTCCTGGGCTGGTCACTGATGTGGGTCCCAAGCTCCAGTGGGGGCACGAGGGGACTAAGGAAGGACTCAAGTAGCTGGTGTCAGAAACTGGAGAAATCTGCAGGGGATTCACAGTAGTTGTGTTGGCTGTTTGTTATTTCAGGGGTGAAAGCTGCTAGGATTCATTCGCAGAGGTCACTGAGAACCATGGTGTCTCCCCCCTGCCTGGCATTTTGTCCTGGTTCCTGACCATCTTTATGTATCACAGATTCACTGGTGAAGGTGGGGTGAAACCAAAGTGGGTTCTTCACCTGCTGCCCCCAAAGCCTGGGGAAGCTGGTTGCTCACCCCCTTCTCCTTGTCCTGGTGTGGGGGACTCTTTTTAACCGGTGACTTCCCTCTGGGTACTCAGCAGTTCTGCCAGCGGGGGGCCAGGAATGGGATGATGCAGGCAAAATGAAGCCATCTTCCTTCTCTTCTTGTGTGGTTATTCCCAAATATTTGTTTCCATTGTGTTGCTGACATTTCTTAACAGGACTCCAGAGCTCTCGAGGAGTTGTTTTTCTTCACGGATTGCTGTGTACTTGTGGCTCTTTGTGGTGGGGACAGAGGCTGGGCCTTCCACTCGGCCATCTTGCTCGTTCACCGGATTCTCAAAAATCCCTGTTGATTTTTATTCCGGTAAATATTCATTTTGATGGCAAATAGCCAGCTTTTCCTGATGGACAACTTCCCCAATACTAGTTTATTAAGTAGTTCACCACTGACGGAGGATCTCCATTTATCCGTTATTGACTTTTGTGCATGTGAAGTTTGCTTTCTGGGCTTCAGATGCCGAGCTATTGATCTATTTATCTCTTTCTGTGAAACAACCTCAGTCCTGTGACTCCGCTTATGATTTGATTACATTTCACTGTCTTGTTAGCCAAGTTCTCTAGTCAACTTTTTTGTATCAAGGATTTCTTAGCTTTAAAAAAAAAGGTTTATTAGCAAGTATGCGTGGGTGTGTGTGTGTGTGTGAGCGCGCGCGCATGTGAAGACTAAAATACATGGAAAGAGAAAAGAAGAGAGTTGTTAGCAAACAAGACAGGAAGTTGTTGGAGCATTAAAGAAGATGTAATATTCTAAGGCACACTCTGAACTCCAGCGCTGGCTCTTTCTGACCTACTTCCTAGGGCTGTGGAGCCATGCCAGATCAGTTATAATTCTGAGGCTGTCAAGCATCAGCCTTCTGCTCTGATCTGTAGCTGAAGCTCAAAGCTGTGTTTCATCTCTGCCACCTCGCTCTGTGCATGCAAAAGAGAAGGTTGCTCCTGAGAATCGGCAACTCACCCAAGGGCAAAGAGATGCTTTGTGGAAGTTTCCAGCCCCGTGCAGATTTTGCAATTACAGAGCTCGACTCAAGATAGAAGATAGATTTTTTTTTTCTCCCTCCAAATCTTACTTAGAGATCTAGGTAATACTATGCAAATTGCTTAGGATAAAAGGCAACTTGAGAGCCAGAGGATTGGGGAAGGGCAGAATCATGGAGAGCGCTGATATTTAGACAGGATGATTGAGTAGGGCAAGGCCCCAGAAGTATTCTAAGGCAGTCAGAACCGCAGCCCTTCAGATACTCTCCAACACATACCATGGAAGCCTATCTTCCGTGCAGTAGTTTTTTTAATGATCATTTATTTTTGAGAGGGACAAGGTGAGCAGGGAAGGGGCAGAGAGAAGGGGAGACAGGGCATCTGAAGTGGGCTCTGTGCTGACACAGAGAGCCTGGTGTGGGGCTCGAACTCATGAACCGTGAGATCTTGACCTTAAGCCGAAGCGGGATGCTTTCTGTGGGAAAGTCACTAATTTTATCGCCCGCGTTAGGGACTGAGGCATCCACTGTAAAAGGTTAATCAAACTGAAGTGACCACATGAACGACAAAGTCACTTGGAGACGGTGACGGATGTGTAAAGTGTAAGTCGGTGACTATTTCTACCTTTCACCCCAGCAACAAAACTCACTCTTTCCTTTGTCACTAAACCCCAGCACCCAATGCATCCTTTATAGCACACCACGATTCTCTTCCGGGTGCCTCTGTGAGTCTCCCTCTGCTTCTCCCTCCCACAGAAACGCAGGTTGGATTGTCACCGTTAATAGTGACTATTGTTTCTAGGTTTTTCTAGAGCTGAACAAACTGCCTGATGGAGGCAATCGAAATGTCACCTGGATGATGAAATGGCAGGGCAGCAGTCAGCACTAATTCCTTACTTTATCACCTTAGTTTTTGAAAACCGAGGTGCCGTTGGGGCCTCTGGGTGGCTCAGCTGGTTAAGCGTCTGGCACTCGGTTTCGGCTCAGGTCGTGATCTCACGGTTCTCGAGTTCGAGCCCCACCTCGGGGTCTGTGCTGCCAACTCGGAGCCTGCTTGGGATTCCCTCTCCCTCTCTGTCTGTCCCTCCCCTGCTCGCATGTTCTCCCTCTCAAAATAAATACATAAACTTAAAAAAAAAAAATAAAGATTGCCTCGTCTCTTGTGCCCTCGTTCCTTTGAAACATGCTTGTGTTGAACACTGCAGTGAGCATGGGAGTGTAGATAGGTCTTCAAGATACCGATTTAATTTCCTCTGAGTAGATGCCCCGAAGAGGGATTGCTGGATCATGTGGGATTTCTATGTTTAATTTTCTGAGGAGCCTCCATACTGTTTTTGCACAGTGTGCATTCCCATCAACGGTGCACGTGGGTTCCGTTTGCTCCACACTCTCTTTGTCATTATCTGCAATATCTCCCTCTCCCGGCATGCCTTAGACTGGCAGCGTCCTTCTAGTTGCCAGTCCTGGCTCTCCAGTGTAGATAAACCTTCCAAAACTCAGCTGAGGCCCGAGTTTCTTCTTACCCTCTCCAAAGGCAATCCCCCCCCCCCCCCCATCTCCATCTTGGTTCAGTCCTTTTTCTGCACTCTTGCTTCCCTGTAAGGAGACAGGCCCTGCCTTGCAAAGCATCATCTTTCATCCTCTGGGAACACTGTTGACTTTGCATATCAAAGAACCGTTTGATGAAGTACATCATGATTTTATTACCAGAATAGTTTCTGATTGTGTTCTGTCCACACATCATTAGTCCTGGTATTAGGACAGCTAGAACCATTCATTTCCAAGATGAATGGAAGTCCCTACCTGGGGCATTGAGAGATAAAGCATGCATATTCATAAGGAAAACTGCTTTCTTCCAAATACTTAACTGATTTTTGTTATGCTTTTGTAATAAAAACAATCAGAAGTTCGGGGAGTAAGTTCAGGCCCTGGATCACTGTCATTGCTGGGTATGAAAACACAGATCTTTGGTATCTCTTTGATCCGCAGTATGGCCGGCCATTATCGCTAACTCCAGAATATGAATAGACGTGTAATAGTCACTGGAAAGACAAGAGAATATCACCTACGTGTGATTATTTCGTGCTGGGCACTGTAAGCTATGTATGGTTGTTACTTGATATACAATTTCTTTTTTCCTAAGGTGGCTCATCTCACCTGGTGCTTGTGTCATAAAGTTGGAGAAAATGAATTTCAATCATTTGATTTTTTTCTTTTTAAATTTTTTTTCAAAAATAATAATAATTTTATTTATTTATTTGAAATAAATTTATTTCAAAAATAAATAATATTTTTGGGACAGAGAGAGACAGAGCATGAACGGGGGAGGGGCAGAGAGAGAGGGAGACACAGAATCGGAAACAGGCTCCAGGCTCTGAGCCATCAGCCCAGAGCCCGACGCGGGGCTCGAACTCACGGACCGCGAGATCGTGACCTGGCTGAAGTCGGACGCTTAACCGACTGCGCCACCCAGGCGCCCCGATTTTTTTCTTATATGAAGGGTTTAAGCATTATGTTCTATGTAAGTCATGGTAAGAAATATTCTCTGGGTAAGGAGCCTTGAAAAGTCCACCAAAGAAGATCCCCTTTTAGCTGTCAATTCCTACAGATCTTCTCATGAATCCTTACGTCCACACCCAACACACCTTGGTCAGGAGCACGGATAGGAGAAGGCCAGCCTCAGCCATTTCATCATGTGTTTCATATTCTGACTTCTCTTTACTTATTTATTTATTTTGAGTGAGAGAGAGAAGGAGTGTGAGTGGCGGAGGGGCAGAGAGAGAGGGAGACAGAGAATCCCAAGCAGGCTCCATGCTGTCAGCACAGAGCCCAACGTGGGGCTCAAACTCACGCTGTGAGATCATGACCTTAGATGAAATCAAGAGTCGGACACTCACCCGGCTGAGCCACCCCGGCGCCCCCACATTTTGATTTCTAAGAGCGTTCACTC